CGCAATCAAATATTTAACGGCCAATTACCAACGTCATCAAACAGCGTCTGGCATAAAGCTGTGTCCTTTAGTGCCAAGCCCATTAAATATGTTGGATTTAAATCATAGAATTGTCCAGGTTGGAAGGGACCTTCAGGATGATCGAGTCCAACCATCAACCAAACTCTGATAAAAACCATCCCTAAACCATGTCCCTCAGCACCACGTCTGCCCGGCTTTTACATCCCTCCAGGGATGGTGACTCCACCACTGCCCTGGGCAGCCTCTTCCAAGGCTTCACAACCCTTTCCATGAAGGAATTTTCCTCAATATCCATCCTAAACCTCCCCTGGGGCAACTTGAGGCCGTTTCCTCTTGTCCCATCACCTGTTCCTTGGGAGAAGAGACCAACCCCCCCTGGCTACACCCTCCTTTCAGGGAGTTGGAGAGAGTGAGAAGGTCTCCCCTCAGCCTCCTTTTCTCCAGGCTGAACACCCCCAGCTCCCTCAGAAGTTCTCCAGACCCTTCTCCTTTTGCTCCAGACCCCTCACCAGCTCCGTTGCCCTTCTCTGGACACACTCCAGCCCCTCAAGGTCTTTCTTGGAGTGAGGGGCCCAAAACTGGACAGAGCCCTCAAGGTGGGGTCTCCCCAGTGCCCAGTACAGGGGGACCATCACCTCCCCAGTCCTACTCACCACACATGAGATGTGGTGGGAAAGACGCAAAGAAAACCCAGCTCGAGGGCATTACAGGGGGACAATCACCTCCCCAGTCCTACTCATCACACATGAGATGTGGTGGGAAAGACACAAAGAAAACCCAGCTCAAGGGCATTGGGTCTGTTCTGTGAGGAGCTGGGGAGCCCTGAGCTTCCAAAATTTAATGATGGTTTGGGCTTGAACGTGGTGCTTCCACCCGAAAGGAGAGCAACTGCAGAGTATTTTATTTTAAGGAACAGGTATCCTTCAGTCTTCCCAACCCAACATCTGCAGGCAAACAGCCCCGTTCCTGCTGCTTCCCTTGCCCAGGGACAAAACCTTGCCCTAAGGCAGGAAATCTGCCCTTAAACCCTCAACCAAGAGCCAATTCCCTGCGACAAATTCGAACCTGAAGACCCCATGGTGGTTTGTCACCCACTGCAGTGACAAGAGCAGGGTGCTCACGTGGGGACGTCCTCCTCTTCCTCACCTCCCCCCAACAACCATCCCCAGCAAACCACAACACCCCCAATTTATGGATGCGAAAAATCGCCCTCTTGAACGGCAGAGGGGAAAAAAAAATATAAATCTCTCTAATAGGATACAGCATCTTAGGGAGATGGGCAGAGTGGGGCCACAGAGGCACTCTGTGAGGAGAAATACGAGCTAATAAACTCATTAGCTTTGCTTTCCAGTCCTGTAGCTGAGCCAAGGAGGGCAGTGGTTCCCCAGCACTTAACCTCTGATCGATGCCTTTCGTGCCCAGTGCTGTGAAACCATCACGGAGCCAAATGCCCACCAGCACCTTGCAAACACCCCAGGCATCGCTACACCCCGTGCCCACACTCTGCCTTTCCATCTGACAGCAAACTTGTTTGGATTCATAAAGAAAATAAATAGATTTGCGAGCTTGCTTTTTTTGCTGAAAGGCAAAGTCAGGATCGACGTGGCATTTTTCTTCCCTGATGGATGGAGGTTTGGCTGCAGCAAAACCTGGGACACAGAACCTACGTGGAGAGGAGAAGACAACCTGGAGGTACCCGTGGTGTAGCTCCACAGCACGAGGTTATATTTCTGCTTTGTGTGTTCAAAAGACAGGTTGATGTAGTGCTGGGAGGTCTGGTTTAGTGATGATGCTCCTTGTTTGTTGTGTGGGTGTCTATTTTTGTCAGTCAGGTTGACGGTTGGACAAGATGATCTTTAAGGTCCCTTCCAACCTAGAAGATTCTGTGATTCTGTGATTTTAGGTTAACCAAAACCCCACCAGAAAAACACACTACAAGGGAGGGTTTGGCTCAAAACTGAGGACAATTGCAAGAAAGCCAACTGGCTTCCCAGGAATCTGTGTTCTGGATGCAAAAAAAAGATCCAGTGGTGGCCAAAAAACCACCGAAACCCCCAAAGGTCCAAAGATAGGAACAGACACCAACCTAGAGAAGAGAAACATGGAAAGTCTGACGGGTCTACAAGGAAATTAAAGTTATTTGAGCACAACGAACCCAGAGGTAGAAGAAGGCAAAAGAAGGTGCTTTGCTCCCAGTACTGAGGCTTTTCCATCCCAGTATAAGCAAGATGGCGGCTGTGATCAGAGCTAAGGTGGCCACAAAACCTTATTCTCTGCTTCCCCCATCTCCCTGGGTTTGATTTTGCATTAAATGTTCTTGTCAAAGAGAGGAAAAAAAAAAAAAGAAGAAGAAAGAAAAAAAAAAAAGAAAGCAGTTATTAAAATGTTGGGACAATTTGCTACTTAGTGATACAATTATTGCATAATTATATGATATTTTAATATGAAATAATGGTCTAATTATTTTCAGGATGTTTGTACATTTCCATCTATCTCCAGCATTCTTATGGTCTGTAATACCAGCTCCTCCAGGCAGCCCAGACCCTTTTTATTACATCTTTTTTCTTCCTCATCAGAACCCCTGTCTGGGAGAACTGTTATTATTCCCATTTTTAACCCCGATGGGTGACTGAACCCAGAGCATCCCCAAGGGAATATTTCAGAGGTCGCTTGGGACCTATGGTTTGGGAATCGCTGCTGAAAAACAGGATTTGGGGTCAGTTCTCCCCAAGAGCTTGTTCCTCCTGCCTCCCTGACCCCATCCTTGCGACACGAGCATGGTCCCATGAATTTTGTCATCTCCTTTCCACCAGGAGACAGCCCTGCAGACAAGTCAGTGGTGGTTGGAAGGGTCTCTAGGTGATGCAGTTGGGGTTTAGTTCATCATTACGGCAATTATTTGGATGTTTTATTAATGGTGAGGGTTTCTGCGGTGTTTTAAACTGATGAGAGAAGTCCTATGAAGCACACGGGCAGAAACAAGGTCAGAGACATAAAAGCATTTCTGGCCAGTTGCAATCAAGCATCAGTTTTGCTTTCAAAGCCTCAGATGTTTCTCCAAGCAAGTATTTCACAAGAAATAGCTCAACTTTGGTGGAAACCCCTCATTTTCCACCATTTGCATGCTTGAGCTTGAGCCATCAGGTTGAGCACCAGCAGCAAAGTCAAGAGTGTTGACTTCTTGCTGCTTGGGAGGGTAAAGCCAGGGTAACCTGCTCTGAACCCCATGACAAAGGCCACCCAAACCTCCTCCAGCTCAACAAACCCACTAATGAGGGGTCAGCCAACACTAGGTCTTTGAAGATGAGAAAGAGGAAGGAGATAAGTTCTTGTGTGGTTCCAGGAAGCTGATCACAGTCATAGAATCATGGAATGGTTTGGGTTGGAAGGGACCTTGAAGCCCATCCAGTGCCACCCCCTGCCCTGGGCAGGGACACCTCCCACCACACCAGGTTGCTCCAAGCCCCCTCCAACCTGCCCTTGAACCCCTCCAGGGATGGGGCAGCCACAGCTTCTCTGGGCAACCTGGGCCAGGCTCTCACCACCCTCACACCAAACAAGTTCTTCCCCACATCTCAGCTCCATCTCCCCTCTTTCAGGGTCAAACCCTTCCCCCTCCTCCTAGGGCTCCCCTCCCTCATCAAGAGTCCCTCCCCAGCTTTCCTGGAGCCCCTTAAGGGACTAGAAGAGGCTCCAAGGTCTCCTTCTCTCTCCCCCCAACTCTCTCAGCCCCCCCTCCCAGCAGAGGAGCTCCAGCCCCCCCAGCATCTCCGTGACCTCCTCTGGCCTTGCTCCAACAGCTCCATGTCCTTCTGATGTTGGTGGCCCTGGAGCCAGTCAAGGGGAAGAGTCTGACGAGGGGAAAATGAAAGATGTGGATGCAGAAACCAGGAGACCTTGGTGCCCCCTCAGCCGCTGTGTCAGGGCATCACCAACACCCATTGCCTCAGCTCTTTCTAACCAGCTTCAGTTTCAGGCACCAAACAGATTTTCGAGGGATAATTATGGGGTGGATTTTCAGCTGCACAAAGGTGATAAGGTTTGATACCCTGGGGCTAAGGAAGATCTGATGGCAGTACCTCCTGCCTATTTATATATTAATCCCTACGTCTTTCCCCTGAAATACAACACAGAGAGTATTTTTCATCTTGGAAAAAAATTAAAAGGAAAAATTGTTCATTCTCTGAAAGGAGAATGGATGAAGGGAGGAATCGAGGAGGTTGCAAACACCTCAGGCAATAACACATGCCAAGTAATGCAATGTTTCTCCTCTTCCCGAAGCTTGACGTGGAGCAGGGGGGGAAATTAAATAAAAAAACCTCACAACGTTGTCACTTAATCCTTCCAGCGCTGCCGGCTACTGCCAGCTTTGCAAAACCAGATTTGCAGAGGGATGAATTCAATCTGCTTTGTTGCCACTGGAGCTTTCCTGGTGAATGATGACTGATGTTGGGAGGACAGAGCCCACAAGCCGGGACAGATCGAGGTGGCATCTCAGGTCACCCATCCCACGCCGGTCCGGCACTCTTATTTTTGGTTCTCCTCCTGGAACACTTGGCCCTGGGACCTACTGGAGAGAGATGGCTTTTTTTACACGGGTGCAAAATGCCTGGGTGCTGCCAAAGTGGCTGCTGCCAGATGGCAGCATCAGGGCTGGTGTTGGACAAATTGGTCTTCGCGGAAGCAGCCGGTTGGTGGTTGCGTTCACAAAGCTGTTTTTCATCTAAAAGTCAATGAGCATCTCAAATAGGATTCATATTTCGAGGGTAAGATGCTGCAAGAGAATTAGAGTATTGAGCGGGGAATCCTTCATAAAGGGATTAGTCAATGCTGTTTGCATTGTGCGGAGCGAGGTGCTGCCAGGACACATTTAGAGGGTGTCAAAAGTCTGACCTCCACGCAAGGGAGACCTAAAACAGCCCCAAAACCTGCAACGTTGGGGTTTTCCAGACTTGATTTCTCCTTTTGCCACCTTGCAGGTACATGGCTATCATCCATCCGCTGCAACCCCGGCTCTCGGCCACGGCCACCAAGGTGGTCATCGGTGTCATCTGGCTCCTGGCTTTCCTGCTGGCGTCCCCCCAGGGCTACTACTCGGTGATAGACGAGCTGCCAGGCCGGCTGGTGTGTCTGGTGGACTGGCCAGAGCACAGCACCAACGTCTACGGAAAAACGTGAGTTGGCTTCTTTCTGGCAGCAGGGACAAGTTACCATACAGAAAAAAAAAAAAAAA